ACAAATTTCCTTTCAAATTGAGAAATAGTGGGGGCACACAATCGAGTCACATTCATGTGATAAGAAGCACAAAAAGCAACGACAATGTAGAAACAGAACTTCAACGAAGTAAACGAGTAAGAGTTGCTAAAGACTATAGGCATGATTATGCGGCTTATAATGTAGAAGAAGATCCAATGAATCTTCAAGAAGCCTTGTCATCTCTGGATGTTTAGTTATCGCAAGAAGCTATCAATGATGAGATAGAATCTCTAGAATCTAACAAGACCTGACACTTAGTAGACTTGCCTCCTGGTTGCAAACCAATCGGTTGTAAATAGATCTTGAAAAGGAAACTAAAACCTGATGAAACTATTGATAAATACAAGGTTCGCCTTGTTGCCAAGAGTTTTAGACAAAGAGAAAATATAGATTTCTTCGACACCTTTTCTCCTGTCACTAAGAATTACATCCATTAGGGTACTTATTTCAATAACTGCTATTTATAACTTAATAGTACATCAAATGGATGTTAAAACAACTTTTTTAAACGGTGACGTAGAATAAGAAATCTATATGAAACAACCGGAAGGGTTTGTGATCTATGGATAAGAAAACAAGGTCTGTAAGTTAGATGAGTCTTTGTGTGGGCTAAAACAAGCTCCAAAGCAATGACATGTAAAGTTTGATAACTTAATGATATTGAATGTGTACAAAGTGAATGAAAGTGACAAATACGTTTATTACAAATTTGAGAATTGTATTTGCACTATCATATGTCTATATGTAGACGATCTATTCATATTTGGATCAAACATTCAGGTCATTAATGATGTGAAATCATTGTTGTGCAACAACTTTGATATGAAAGACCTCGGAGAAGTGAGTGTGATTCTTGGTATCAAGATTACAAAATCTGAGCAAGGAATTTCTTTGGATCAATCACAATATGTGAAAAAGATCTTAAAGAAATATAATTACTTTGATAGTAAACTTGTGAGCACACTAAATGATCCAATCGTGAAGCTGTTTAAGAACACTGGTGAAAGTGTTAGACAAACAGAACATGCGAGCATCATTGGAAGTCTTAGGTATTCCATTGATTGTACTAAACCTGACATTGCATATGTCGTGGGATTGTTGTGCGGGTTTACTAGTAGACCGAGTAATGAATATTGACAAGCTATTGAGCGAGTCATACGATACCTTAAAAGGACCATGAATCTCGGTTTACATTATCAGAGATTTCCTATTGTACCTGAAGGATACAATGATGCAGATTGGAATACCTTATCAAATGATTCCAAAGCAACTAGTGGCTATGTATTCAACATAGCTAGAGGAGTTGTATCTTGGAAATCAAAGAAACATATTATCCTGAGAATATAGCATTAGCGACTGCTAGTGAAGAAGCAAGTTGGTTAAGATGTTTGCTGACTGAGATTCCCTTATGGAAAAAACATATGTCAGTTGTGTTGATCCATTGCGATAGTACCGCGGCTATTGCAAAAAATGAGAACCGTTATTATAATGGTAAAAGACGTCAAATAAGAAGAAAGCACAACATTGTTAGAGATTGTATCTCTAAATGAGCTGTAAGAGTGGATCATGTACGCACTGATGAAAATTTAGCAGATCCTTTGACGAAAGGATTAGCTAGAGAGAAAGTCTATAATACATCATATAAGATGGGACTAATGTCTATAGGAAAATGAGTTGTTCATGATGGTAACCCGACCTAAATGACTGGAGAACCCAAGAAATAGGTTCAATGGGTAATAACAAGTTATGAGTAATATGAGATGATCATGCAAGTAAAGCATGAATCCTGAAGTAATAAGAGGATGAGATGATAGAAACTCTTAATGAAATTTATACTCTGTATGAGGGAGTACCTAGGCTACAGGAGTACTCTTGATAGACCCACATATGTGATTGTGGAACTTAGGCCGGTTCCTATGGAATTTCGAGGTTGAATTCCTAAAGCCTTCATTAAACCGGGATACACGTGCAGGGCCATTAAAGCACAGGCTATTAGAATACACTTTAAGAAAAGGTTGTGTGCGGGTTTGATGTCTAAGATAGAGTTCAAGACATTTGTGTCACTCTTGTTGAATTGAAATCATACTTGCTATGCAAAGGTTCAAGTCGTAGACACCTTTGTTTATGCACAATCTTAGAAACGTTTGACGTTACTTCTAAAATTAATTTTTTAAATTCAATTGGGGGATTGTTGGAACATGTCAATGTTTCAATATGTTGAATTTAAAAATTTCTCAAGTCCCACATTGTTAGAATATTATTTTGGTTGAAAAAACCATTTAGTCCCACATTGCTCATGTGAGAAATATTAACTATCCTACTTCACTATATAAGGAGTGCATATGTTTCATTCCAAATCACACCAAAAACTACTCTATTAGTTTTTCCTTCCTCACTCTCATAACTCTGCATCTCTCGAATTGTCGAAGCGCCATCTTCTTCCCCTTTCTTCCTACTCGTTGAATTTTCCGAGTATTTTCTTGAATTCTCTTTAGAGAATTATGTTAATTTCTCCTCATTTGAGTTGAGAAATTTTCAAGTTTAATCTTTTGAATTCTCTTTGGAGAATTCTCTTTGGAGAATTATTTGAATTTCTCTTTGTTAGAGAAATTATTATGAGTGGTCAAATGACCATTATTAATTTCTCTTTGGAGAATTATTTGAGTTTCTTTTTGCTTAAGAAATTATTATGACTGGTCTTTGTACCAGATACTACGAGTGGTGTTGATACCATATTGAATGGTCTTGTACCATCAGAGGGTGTATTTCTAGACCGATTATCTATCATGAAAGTAGTAATCGTACAATATAGAACTGTGTTGTTTTATCCTGGAGGCGGCGCGGTAGTTTGACTGCTTTGCATAATTTTGAGCAGTGCCGCAAAACGTCTTAAAGAGAGCGACTCAACCTGATAATTTCTTCGATGACAAATATTTCAAAATCTGAATCCGACATATATATATATATATATATATATATATATATATATATATATATATATATATATATATATATATATATATATATATATATTTCCTTTACTACACAGGTGCTGGTAAATCAGGAAGTGGAGATTTGGGTATCTGGTTACGAGCAATGCTGGTTATTGCCAAGTGATTCTGAATCATGGATTTATGTCCATACTTTGGATGCATTCTTCAATCAAGTTGTAGTGTTGCCTAGCGCTGATTACTTGCATGGATTATATTTCCTAGTTCATAGTCACAATGCCTATATTCAGCCTTATCAGAACTAGTGATAGTTTATTGGTTGGAGACCATCTTGCGCAGATATATTGTGTCCAAACACAAGCTATTCAACATTATGGGCTAAAATATATGTGGTTTTCTTGATAGTCTTCTCTGTCAACATATTATGATTAGTCTTGCATCTGAATAAAGGTAATCCAATAATTCTGTGTTACCGAAACTAATATCGAATATTTTCTTAGGAGTAGAAAATCTTGAATGGGAGGCTTTGTTTCTAGTGGCCTTAAATACACCCGTGGAGATACACAAGGTTGAAATGGAGAAACTTTGCTTTTGGTTTCAATACTGGTATGACAATATATCCTCTTCTTACACTGAAATCATTACATTGTACATTTAATATCAATCACTATTACACTGATATTGTGGATTGTGGAATGTTGGCAAGCAGTGTAAACATTGAACCGAATCATGTGTACCTTTATCATCCTGTTTAGTATTCATTTGAAGCACTTTAAGTATCACATAAGAGTACATATTTATTTTATATAATAATGGTGTCTGGTACGTTGCTGAATTTTGAGTAACATAAATTTGTGCAGTAAATTAATGTTGGACCTTTACGATGGTTTCCCTTGTAGGAAGAGAAGCTTTTCCCTTTTTTTTAGATATATGGTATTCCAAAACTAAAGTGGATAATTCTTCAAGCATGACACCACTTTGATAAATGTTTCTAGTTTTAAAGTTCCATGGTCTTAATCTTTTATTAATTTCGAAAGGGTCATTTTTTTAAACAATTTCCAGATTCTCCTCTTACTGATCAAAATTGTATAAAGTATTTTCAAGATGTTGCTCACAGAATTCAACATGTAATAGATCTGTGTAATACTAATTTCATATAAGTTTGTTCAACACTATTTGGTCTGCATAACCTTAATGTTTCTCAATAATGCATTAACCTGTTTATGATTTTTTTTCAATAAAGCAAATCAACAAATTGAACTATTTTATTTCAATTCTTATATTCTGACAATTTTGTTTCTTCATTTTTTGTTTGTTTACGTAATCATCTGAATGATAACAATTATAATAATAATACTTTTTGATGTGTTTGTTCCAGTCACTTGGTTAAGAGTCTATAGTTTCCAATCTGTGATAAGGCCGGTCAGATTTCAAGCTACCTAAGAAACTTATTGATTCAATTTGACTACCTAAGTGATATGTTTTGCAAAAGCATTCTCATATCAAGCTGCTGTGAGATGTTCTTTTTAGAAAGACAACAGGACAAGATAGAAAGCTAGTGAGTGATATTGCCGCAACACTAAACCAACTTTAGTGGACTAACTTAAAACGTTGTGATCAAATATCAAAAAGTGCAGCCAATATCCAATGATTAAGAAATACTCATTGCATGCTACAATATGATATATGATCCAATATTTAAAACTGAATCCATATTATAAAACACCAAATGATTGTTGATTAGTTTTGCACTTGAAATTAAGCAACCTCAAATGCTTCATGTAACTAAATTATGCATTCACTTTAACTCAATATCATATTAAATTCAACATGTCACTAGTCACTAATATATCAACCTGAAATTCTACAATTGTACAACGCCAATCTCCTATACTAACCAACATTTCCAAACTGCACACATGTATCATACAAATCATAATTAAGGTTTAAATAATGATTCAAAGTCAAAGAGAAACTCACAATGCACCGCCTCCAATGCTTGTGTGAGTATCCTCCATGTATCCTGCATCAAAAGAAAGAAGACTTCAACATATATTTATGTATATGGATATGTTGCAGTAATAGTACTACACAGTTACACACTAAAATCAATCTCGGCAATTGATTACATACTAGTCGACTTAGATTATATATCAATTGTACCAATACTAAACTATCATGGCCGACTACGTACATGACACTGTTACTTATATATAGCATGATGAGTGATATATCATGGCCGACTACGTACATGACACTGTTACTTATATACAGCATGATGAGTGATAATAATGCACACCCGCTTTGATGCAAGAACAACTATATTATATTTGGATCAAGAGTTGGCACCCTCATGATATATCTCGTTGCATTGAATGCCTATGAAAGCTTTAGGAAATCTTCCTCCATCTGCATCAGTGGCCATTTAACAGGATCAAAAACAAAATCACTTCAATGATCAACACAAATCAATATCGATGCCATCATTGTTGTTTCTGTATATTCATCCAAATCGCTAATTAGTTACCCCTTGCAAGCATGTATATTCAGATCTTACTTTTGTAATCATCCACTGGATTATGAAACTCAGCTCAAGCACTCACACTAAGATAATCTAGACATCAGAATACGTTAAAGCATATACAGAACTAATAATAGAACCTGATTTGAATAACTTCCACCGCATTACCAGCTGCTATAGCTCCAACGGATGGATCAATGGACAGCACTAGAAAAACAAATATTAAAATTTTCAACTCAAAAACATATAAACAATTCACCACAAACTGAAATAGAAAAAAAGTGAAAGAACTTGGTTGAGACTTTTCATCAAACACCTTGTGTGCAAGATGAAAAACTCTTCACTTTGAAAGCAAGAACTGAGCATCAATCATCAACGATAACAGAACTACGATTCAGCAACCAAGAATCGAACAGAAGAGAAGAAGAAGAATTCAAAAACGCGCGAATACTTGCCTCACCGGATTTGTCGACGGAAACGCAAGAACAATCTTGAAACTCCACCGCGCCTCTACAAACCGAACGTGCCGCCGGAAACGTCCCTTGCCGGAATCCCGTCACCCCCGTTATCCATATTTTTCGCCGGTAATTCCTTCTCCTTCTTTGGGTGTGAATCAATTTGTTGATTATTTGTCAGCATTGTTTCATGATGAAGGAGAGTAGAGCAAATGGCTTTTGAAAATAAGTGTTTTTTTTTTAGAATGAAAAAGCACTTCTCATAAGTGCTTATGGATGGAAGAAACGCATTTTCACGTTACCACACATGGAAGCTACGTTACTGTGTAATTATTCTTCATTCCTTTTTCTTTTTTTGATTACTTTGTTTTATTTTTAATGTTAACTAAGACTGCCACGTATCATTGTTTTGTTGGTTAGGTTAATTATAGAAATAATCTAGTGCATTCTTTTTCTTTTTTTTTTTTTGAATAAATGGTAGAATTTGAATATATGTCAATGAATTTAAAACCTCGTCGTGAGACTTAAAAAAAATTTTAAAATATATTTTAAAAATTATATTTTAATTATAAAATATTCAAATTATATATTAAATAAATGAGAATTTGAAGAATTTTTTTAGCATAGTTTGAAATAAAATACACAAATAATCATGTTTTGGAGAAATTTACACAAATAATCATGTTTCAGAAAATGTTATAATGCAATAGTCATTTCAGATGATGCATGCATTGATTTTTTTAAAGAAAGTGTCAAATGAGATAGCGCCTACCCATCTCTTAATTTTTTCAATTTTTGCTATTTACCTGTGGATTTTCCTGCAGATTTGACTTTTTCTAGAGATTTACTTGCGGATATACCTGCGGCTTATTTTCCGCTGATAATTCCGTAAAATCTGCAGGTAATGTCAAATCTGTAGGAAAATCTACAGATAATTGAAAAAGTTTGAAAAATATATAGGATGCGTCAATTCAAGTAGTGTTTTCTCTTTAATTCACATTTTTTTTTACAAACATGATTATTTACGTAATTTTCTCCGAAATATGGTTATTTATGTTTTTTTTTCAAAACATGATTAGTGCTAAAAAAACATTCGAGAATGAATTTAAATTTTAAAAATTATTAAAAATATATATTTTAAAAATTAAACAAAAGTATTAATATTTTTTATAAACATTTAAATAATGCACATGTTTTTAAAATTTTGATTCCACACATTAAAAAAACGAATATATAAGAGCAAGATCAAACGGATCAGAAAAATCACCTTTGTCATTTAGATAGTCATAAGAACGGTGAGACAATGGACTGTTGGTGGTGGTCATTGCGTTTATGGACGGTGGTTGTGAAATTTTGAGATTCTGAAAATTTATGGTTGCAAAAATCGATGGTTGTGATTCCGATTGAGTTTTAGTTGTCTCAAAGAAATCAGAGGTTCTGAAGTTGATGTTTGGGAAAATTGGTTTTCTATTTTGTTGTTTTAAGTTAAGAAAAATAACAATTAATTTTAGACAGATTTGGTTTGATGATGTGTCTTAGTGGTTAAAGATTGGTTTTTATTAAAAATAATTATTAGGTTTTGATCTTACCGGATCAGAGATGGACCGTCATAACTGGCTTCGGGCTGAACTTGAATGAGATGGGGGTACCTACAAGACACTCTGATGGTAAAGTAAGAAGAGGAATGAGCAAGCAAGTATGAGTTTTGAGATGTGTGTATGGAGTCCAACAAATGGACTCCCCCTGGTCAACTACTCCGCGAGAATAGAGATGGACTCGAGATTCCCGGAGGGCAGTTTGGGATGTCTCTCAGGAGGTCGTGGGCCACGTCCTCCAACGGTTGGATGGGGAGTTTCCCCACGGTCCCTAACTTGGGTTGTCTTTGGGCTTCTCGTTCGTAGGGCGAACGTAGGCCCAGTCCAGATCAGGAGCCCCCCAAGTTATTGTCCTCGAGCTAGAGGGCGATGACTTGAGTTCAGCTCCCGCTACCGAAGACTTGGTCGAGGTAGAAGGCCAGAGTCCCCGAAGGGAGCGAGTCGTTTCCCGCGGGGGGGCAGGCTCGAGTACATCGGGGAATATCATGGACAAACGGGGATCGGGACCGAAGGGGTCAATCGCTTGCCCGAGAGGATGCATTGGTGGCGGGGAGCCTCTGCGAGATTCCCTTTGATATGTTCGTCTCCTGGGAGTTGTTAGATTGTCGAGCACTTCATTGTCCCCGATATGGTTAAATAGAGGTTCCCCTTTGCGCGCTCAAGTGGCGAGCACTTCTTCGTGTAACTGTTCGCCTCACACGTTTGATAGTTGAGCCACGTGGCTAGTGCTTTTGGGATGCCACCCCTTCAAGGGAAAAGAAAAAGGGGCCAATGAGGTGATGCCCCTTCATGAGGGATCCCTTGGGGCGTGGGTCATCTATAAAAATGGGGCCCTTTGGTCTCATTTGTCACCTTCTCAAGTTTCCTCTCAATCTTTTCTTTGCTCGTGGCGTGAAGCGATTCTCTCAACCTCTCAGTTTTTCTTCGCTCGTGGTGTGAGGCGATTCTCTCAACTTTTCAGTTTCTCCCTCTAAGTTCTTCATCCAAGTAAGTTATAACCTCTCAACACCATGTTTCTGGAGCTTTTCTGGATTAAATGTCAAAATTTTGTCTTGATTGGATGAACATTCATGAGTTTTATGATGAATATTCATGAATGTTCGTTTGAGTTCATGGGTTCCGTGTCGAGCACTCATGAATGTGTCGGGCACCTATGAACATTCGTGTTATAGTGTCGGGGAGGATTCCTTAGGTTATTGTGTATCCCGAGTTTTTACTCGGCGAGTGATCCCCCGACTACATGTCCTCGGAATGTAATGATCCGCTATAGCATGTCGAGGGCTTGGGTCGAGTTCGTTGTAACACCTCAATTCTACCCCAAGCAAATTATGCAAAATAAATCAGAGTTATAAAATTTTATTCATACAAACGAATCAGGATGTCACAAATTCTTCTAACAAATTCATTGCATTCATCATGGATATATAACACTTTTAATAAAACATCGGATGAACCATCAACATAGCATCTTTAATAAAATAATTCAACAACTACGCAGCGGAATTCTTCAATAACATCTCTAAATAAAACAGCAACTTCGAAACATCTCATATTTAATAATAATCAATTCAAAACTCAACAACTAAAAATCAACAATCAAAAATCAGCAAGCGTTCATCCCCCCGAGTGTTACATATCAGAGCAATGACACCGACTCAAACTATTGAAGGTATACAACCTTCACTCGCATTACCTGCACGTTACCAACATAAGGGCAACATTCAAACAGAAGGGATGAGATATCTAACAATATAATAAAGCACATGATAATTAATATATTAAATTAGATCACTAATATCACCACTTCTCATTTCATAATCAATAATAATTACAGCATATATACTCATTCATCAACATCAAATACACTTCATTATTCAATCATATAATGCGACTCAAAACTATGCAAATGTATGTGGTACCATTGGAGCAGAACTCTCATCTCAAAAATTTGCCAATTAATAGAGGCGTCAACAAGGCATAGCCTTCATCTTAAAATTTGCCAATCCAGGCCATCTCAACGAGCATAAGCTCCATCTCAAAAATGCAATGTATGCGACTCAATATGAATGTAATAACAACACCCAAATTAACAACATTTCAAATCATCTCAAAACATCTCAATTAACATCTCGAAATAACAACATCTCAATCATCTCAAAACAACAACATCTCAATTAACATCTCGAAATAACAACATCTCAATCATCTCAAAACAACAACATCTCAAATCAACCACATCTCATAAACATCAAAATAATTTATTAAACATCATTTACTATCACAAAATCATCGAACACAACTTCATCAATAACATCACATTAATACTCAATTGTATATTAATACTACGGTAATCCATATTGTTATTCTGCTAATTTATATCGTTATTGTCACTAATCCTATTGTCATAATTCTAACACCAGCCTCTAAACATCTATTATTCATCGTTCTGTCCAAAAATCAGCACAACGGTCATCTATGGGAATTAATTCTAAATCCTGCATTATCTGCTAGGATTACACTTCTTATCCATCATTTAATCACCTAGAATAAAGTTCATCGCATTAACTATTCAACGCTTTGAACGACATCTCAAACAGTATCCTAAAACTCAAGTTACAGCAATTGAAACTGAATCTGTCAAAAATCAGTCATTAAGGGTCGACGCAAAACCCTATGGATCGACACGTACTGCTTCATCTGTACATCATGAGTCGACACATCCTCCCTATAGATCGACTCATCCTGGTCTCAAACACAGCATGTATCGACACATGCTTCTCATCGATCGACTCATCCTGAGTCTTGCAACTATCATGTATCGATGCAAACCCTTCTTGTATCGACTCATCCTGAGTCTAACATCGCCCATGTATCGATGCATCAAGCTTGAGGTCGACACATCCTGGTTCCTCCTGCATAATTCTGCGATTTCCTCTGTATTTTCACTACATAAATCATGTCACAGCCCTATAGACCTTATTATAAACATGATATTTCATCTCCTAACGTTACCCTCTATTACCACATCGATTAAACAACATAATAACATCATTATTCATCAAGAATTCATCAATCCTCATCATACATCATTCATAATACATCCAATTCAAGAACAAACATCAATCCTCTAACCCACATATCAAACATCATGAACCCAATTATAAAGTCAGAATCTCATCCTTACCTTGGATTGAAGGTCGCTCTACAATTTCCGGGTTGAATCTTCGTTCTTGCTGTTTTCCACTTTTTCCAGCAGCTTCACGTTCTTCTCAAATCCTTTTTTTCTTCTACTGTTTCTTTCTTCTATACCTTCTCACAAATAATAAAATAACCTAATATTCTATTATTCCTTAGTGGGCTCCAAACCTACACACCCCCTTAATACTTCTATTCTCTCAAAATAGGCCCACCTTAAATAATATTACACTTATAATATTATTTCACCACATAATATTATATCTCTAATATTATTTCTCCACTTAATAAAATAAATCCAATTTAATTATAACACATCTTCACAAATATTCCAAAAATAATTTAATTAAATAATTAATTAAATTACGGGTGTTACATTCGTCGCCCTTTCACTTGATCTGTGGTGGAAGAGTGGGTTTGATAATATCGAATTCACTAACTTCCCCTGCTTTTCAGGTACAATGGCACATTCAGTCGGGGACGACATTCTGGCCTCCCATCACGAAGACGAGCCCCGTAGCAACGTGGACCCTTTGGCTTGGGTTGCTCCGGAGCCCAAGGATAAACGGTCATGCTTTTCACAGGATGCGACAGACGCGTTCAACTGTCTGGAGGAACACACAGAAGGGGCTCCGGCCAACTGGATGCTTCAAATTCCCCATCAGGACCGAAGGATATGCTCGACGTATCCGGGAAAACGATTCCCCATGTACAAATTTTCTTTCAAAGAGGAGGGGATGCGCCTGACCTTCAATGATTTCCAGGTCGGGGTTTTCCAATGGCTTCAGTTGGCGCCTTCCCAACTCCATCCAAACGTGTTGGCGTTTATGCGGGCGTTTGAGCTCGTCTGTCAATACCTGGGGATAGGCACCACGCTGCCCCTTTTCTTCCACATCTTTCATCTGCAAAGACAATTTGTCCGAGGGAGGCAGGCGTAGGTATCCTTCAAGCAATTCGGGAAACTCTTTTGGCCTTATCTAGAGTCCGTCCGAAATTTTAAAGAGAGGTACTTCGTTGTGAAGCCCCTGAAGGACGTGGCCATAGGTTCTCTCTATACCCGTGTGGAAGAGGTGGTGAACAGGCGGCCAGTTACCCGACTTATGGCCAGATTCCCGCTCGAGTGGCAGTGGAGGCATTATGAGCAAAGACCTGAATACTATGCAGTGAAACCCAAGGATTTGGATGCCCAAGATCATCTTTCATACGAGAAGTTATCGGTATGTCAACACAAAGAGTAAGCGTCTATGGGAGACTTGACTAATAATTTGTTTCCTTATAACCCTTTTTTTTTGTTTTCATTGTAATCCTAAAAGGCAATTATAATTTTAACTTACTAATAAGAGTCTTTGTTTTTGTTCCCTTTTTTATTAACAAATTTAAATCCCTCGAGTTCCTTGAAAACATTGCATATGCATCTACATGCCATACATATCATTGCATAACAGGTTTCCAAGACGGGTTTCTCATCTTCTTGCTGTTTATTTCAGCAAAAATGGCTCTCAAACAGATAGTTAAAGAACTCCAGGCTCAAAATGCTCAGTTCCAAAAGATGTTTCTAAACTTAGCCAAGGGGAAAGAAGAACTGAAGGCGCTCATCGAAAAAAAGAAGAAGAAGAAGAAGAAGACAAAGAAACCAATCGACAACCTTAACATGCGAAGAAGGTTTAGAGGTCCAATCAAGCGAGCTCAAGATCTTGATATCCCATTGGACGAAGACGACGAACGGGATGAAGATGGTAAGAGTGTTAAAACTGAAAAAAGCAACCATGGTTATGACAGATATTCTGATGAACAGGAAGAGGACTACTTGAACAAACAATATCCTTTTGCCGATGATAAGTATAAGATGTTAGAAGAGCGTCTGAAAGTTATGGAGATCCAAAAGGTGCATGGCTTAAACTTTGAAGAATTGGGTTTAGTCTCATAAGTCGTCATTCCTCCTAAGTTCAAAACTCATACCTTTGCTAAGTATGATGGCGTTTCTTGCCCGAAGCTTCATTTGAGATCATATGTTCGGAAAATTCAACCACACACTGCTGACAAGAAATTATGGTTGCACTTCTTTCAAGAAAGTCTGTCTGGAACACAATTGGAATGGTATTATCAACTCGAAGGTACCAGCATCCATACCTGGGAAGATTTGGTTGTATCTTTCTATAGACAGTACCAGTAGAATTTTGATTTGGCACCAACCCGCATGCAACTACAGAGTATGTCCATGGGTTCTGAGGAAGGCTTTAAAGAGTATGCATATAAATGGAGAGATCTTGCAGGAGGAGTTCAACCTCCTTTGGATGATAGGGAATTGGTTGGCATGTTCATGAGCATGCTAACAGGTCCTTTCTA